CCAGCTGGTGTGGTCCACATTAAAGGTATGTCTTTCCAGATCAAGATCTAGATTAAAGGTATGGCTATTCCCAGCTCAAAAGATCTAGATTAAAGGTTTGTCTTCTTACCTCAAAAATCCAGATTAGAAATGGATCTTCCTACTTCAAATTAAGAAAGAAAAAAAAAATCCCTCACAAGTGTGCCCTCCATTTTTGGATTTTAGTCAATTCCAAATAAAGTCAAGTTGACCCCCAAGAATAACCATCACAGTCCCCTGATCCTGGGACAGGGCTCTGGCACCTCTCAGGAGGCCTCAGCAAGGTCCCTACTGGGCTTCTCCCTCAGAAGACAAAGGCTGCAGGCCTCTTTCCAACAAGGCACACAGAGTGCGGAGAGCTGTAGTCAAGGGCGGTACAGAGTGCCGCAGGAAATTAAGGAGCAGAGTGATCTATTTGCCCCGGGGAAAGGGGAGGTAGGTTGGAACAGGCCACAGTAAGAGGCTGAACTACCCAGATCCTGGAGACCAAGATGAGAAGAAAGCTGAAGGTAGAAGGGAGGCCATAGAGTGGAAGGGGTGAGGCGTAAAGGAAGGTCTGGATGATTGAAGGCCCTTGGGTGCCAGGCTGTGACCTCTAAAGTAAGACACAAGCTTCAAATGTGTCAGAGGACTTGTTGCATAAATGTCACCTTGGGCCAGTGTCCTTTAACCAGGAGTGAGTTTGCCTCCCAGCTGACTTTGGGTAATGTCTGCAGACCTTTATTGCTGTCACCGTGAAATGAAAAGGCAATGTGGGTATCTAGTGTATAGAAAGAAACCAGGGATGCTGTTAAACAAGGTAAGGAATTACTCACCCCCCCCCCCAAATCTCAACAAGGCTGAGAGGGAGCCACCATCGTGCACAGAAGCAAGGTGGAGAAAAACAAAATTGGCCGTAGATGAAGAAATTGGGAAAGGGTACACGGAGAAGGGGACTCTGAGAGGCTCACAGAAATGGGTCCGGGTGAGGACTTGTGGGGTAGAGGAAAGGAAATGCACAAGAAAGGCCAGAGAATGAGCACTGGGCCTGGAGGGGAGCCAGGCAAGGGGTGCTGGGCCCTGTACAGTTTGACCGTGTGCAGGGTTCATAGGAAGGGGGAAAATGAAAGCACTGGAAAAGCTCTTTCACGGTACAGTTCGTTATCCTAACAGTGATGTAAAGTGATTCAGTAAGGCAATAGAGAGCCACTGAAGGGCTTAGAGCACCAAGACATGGGATCAGAGATGTTTTAATTAATCAGGCCTCAAGTAATTAATCAAGCAGTGGTGCATAGACTTGGGGGGAGGGAGCCCCACCAGGAGGCCATTTCAGTGTTCCCAGCAGGAGCCTTAGCCACCCGGAACTGGAGAGTACCAGCCACACTCCACCTGCTGCACCGGTGTCCCCTGAGCCGCCATGCTCAGGGCTCAGCACAGAACCACTGCTCCATAGGAGACGCGTAAACCGAGTGCTTGTCAATTAATTTAAATTTTAAATGCAATTTGATATTTTAATTTGTTAAAACAAGCATGCATTGCTTTTGTAATCAAAAAATATAAGCAGTTCTTTAAAAATGGAAACCAGGATTTATTCACAAAGATCTCATCGCAGCAGTATCTAGAATAACAACCTGTTTACCATCAGGAGATCACCAACTACACAGGCCCTACAATGGGTGTGTTTACGTGAAAAGAATGGTTTTCTTTCAAAGAGAGAAGTTTGCTATTGAAGGACTGGAATGTAATGACTGTATTAGTCTTTTTTCTATTACTATAATAGAATACCCAAGGCTAAAAACTTTATAAAGAAAAAAAAATGTTCTGTGTGTGGTGGTACAGGCCTCTAATCCCAGTACTCAAGAGCAGAGGCTGGCACATTTCAACAAGTTCAATGGTCTACAGGATGAGTTTCAAGCCAGCCAAGGCTACATGGTGAGACTGTCTCAAAAAAAGAAAAGTTAAATCACAAAGCAAGGTAAGATTCCAGAGATAGACATGGGCCACACACAGGAACCACTCTAGTTCCTCTGAAGACATGCCTCCAATAACCTAATGAGCTCCCTGAACTAGACTCCATCGCCATAAGGTCCCACTACCTCTTAAAGCCACCACACTGGAGAACAATTTTACTATGAGACCCTTGTGGGAAGGGGGTGGTGACAGATACACAAGCCATATCTAAATACTGTCTAATAAACAAGACGTGCAGATGAGAGCTGGGGACACAGCTCAGCTGGGAGAGTGCTTGCCCAGCGTGCAGGAAGCCTTAGGTCCAGTCTCTGAGTAGCAGATAAACTGGACATGATGGTGCATACCTGTACTCCCAGTGCTTGGGAGGCAGGGAAAGGAGGATCTAGTGTTCAGTGTCATTGGCTACATAGTGATTTTGAGGTCAGCCTTGAATACATCAGATCCTATTCTGGAAGAGAGAGTGGGTGGGGAGGGAGAGTGTACAGTGAAAGATCTAATCGGTGCAGTTAGGATGGACACTGATCAGGACTGGGTACAGATGTGAGCAACCAGGTGCACACCTGGGTGCCAGGTTGCACAGAGTGGGACTCCACGGGGGCTTGGACTTTGGACTGCAAGGTGCAGCTGGAGCTGCTTCTCCCTCTCTGAAGGACCACATTAGGTCCTAGAAGTTGAGTCTCTGGCAGGGAACAATGGCTGAGCTGGCAGTCAGGAAGTGGGACACTGAGCTATGTCCAGGAGCGACAGGGCAGAGAGGAAAGCATTTGTGAAGCCACCACGTCTTTACTGAGAGAACGTTTTACAACCCAGTCGTTCTGAAACAAAAGCCTGATAAGTCTCAGTGGCAAACAATAACAAGCATTGCTTTCTTTCACTGTGAGTCTGAAGGTCAGTGCAAGCTGCCTCTGCTTCACACATCCCTCATGGGACCAGGGAGCCAGCCAGGAGGATTTTCTCAAGGCGGTGACATAATCTCCAAAGGGCAAGACCGAGTGCATGAGGCATGGCCAGCCCGGCTTGCATCACCCAGCCAAAGCAGCCACACAGCTTTGTGCAGAGTCAGGCAGGAGGGGCAGGCTCTGCTTGCCCTTCTGTGGAAGGGGTAACAAAGCTGCCTAGCAGAATGCATGCGCAGATCCGGCGTCAATGCTGAGGACAGTGGCTGACCCTCACCTTTAGCCTGCCAATTGCTGGCAAGTTCCTCATCGGTAGCCAATGTGCTGAAAATGGGCCTTGAAGGACATAAAGAGAGGCTCTTTGAGATGGAAGCATGCTCTCCTCCTGATGCTCTGAGATTCTGAGGGAGTCGGAAAGAAACACGAGTTCGTTAACTGAAACCATAACTGCCACGTTCTTGGTCTCAGTCTATGGGGCTCCACTTTCACTGGAAGCCTCTGTCTTGAACTTAAGCTTAATGCAGACACCACTTACCACAGAGGTTTCTTCCCCGGGCCCTTTTGGCCTCCCAGCTCTCTTTTCGTTTTGTAGAGACATAGGGGAGGAGAGCCATGTAGCCCAGGCTAGCCTTGAGCTCTTGAACAGGATTTCCTTGCTATCTCCGTCTCCTTCCCCCTCAAGCACTCCTTTTCATTTTCCCACGCTCCCCGCAACTCTGGTGCCCTTCAGAACTGTGTTTCCAACTTCATTTTCTACTCCATATCCTAAGGGGTGACCTTCAGGGTACCTGTAACTCCAAGAAAATTATCTAACTTCCAAGTTTAAATTATTTAAACTTAATAAACTTCTCTCTGTTTGTTCACGTCCAGATTGCAGTTTACGGGTGTCTCAGGACTCATGGAACGGTTCGCTCCTGGCCGTAGTTGACTGCACAGTCACTCTGCACCTTTCCTGCTTAGGACTCATCTTCCTGCAGGCTTCGAGCATCACTTCTAGTCTCCCACCCCCACCCCATGGCTCCTAATCTGCCCCTATTTAGACTTCTCACCTCTTTCTGCGCAGTACCTTCTCGGTCTCATAGGCCCCTCAAAACAAATCCATGAAGGAACTCCAAGACAGAACTCACGTTCCCCGCGTCTTCATGGTAGCCCAACCTCAGAGGTCATTCACAGAACCCTGACCTCTGCATGGACTCCACAGACTCATGTCTGCTTCCTGTCTCTGACAACTTAAATCGATGCCTTCCCTTCCACCCCACCTGCTCTGCGTCAGTCAGTGGAGGGCCCCAACATTACTTATCAGAATCCTGACCCCACTCGTTTCCATAGATCCAGTCCCCTAGTCCACCCCACATGGCCATCAGGGTTCATTCCAAAATCCTAAGGAGTTTTGTAAATCTCTTGTCTACCCACTGCTTTTAGGGTAAGGTCAAAATAGAAGCTAATTAGGAGATAATCTCCACCCACAAACCAGAACTGTCTCCACCTCCGGTCCCTAAAACACTGCCTGTCTCTTTACCTCTCTGGACCTTTCCCTGAGCTGCCCTCTCTACCCACCTCTCACCATTTACTTCCCTGCCCAACTCCACTCTTCCAGAAAAGTCTGAGCTTCATTGTTACCTCCTCCATGTTGTGGACCTCAGGCTGGCTAGGTGCCTCCTCTTTGGACTCTGATGGTACCAAAGCACGGTAAACACTTCTACAAGACTGCACTACCCACTGAGTTATAAACATTACATGAGCAGGAAGCATGTGCTTGCCTCCCAAAGGCCTTATGTTCTATAAATGTTTGATGACTGAATAATGGATGGAATGGATGAAGTGCTAGTTGCATTTGTTACCTATCTTGTGATATTGGGCAAGTCTGGTAACGCCTATGGGCATCAGTTTCCTCATCTGCAAAATGGAAACCATAGTGAAAATAGCAAGTGATATTAGATAGTACGTGTTGGGTCATCCACACAACTGAAAACTAAATCATCAAAAAATAATGATTGAAACTCTGAAGTTGCAAGGAAAATGGGGAGGGGGTATACAATAATTTAGACAGCTACAAGGGACAGCTATAAACAAATGCTCCCTCACATATGCCTGGAAAGAGAGGGCCAACATTTGTCCTGGAGGGGTGGGACCATGGTGACATCATACTCCTGTACCTGCCAGGCTTTCATTAGTGAGCACACAATAATTTATGATAAAAAAAAAAAACCCTCAACTTTATTGCCCAAAAAGAAGAAAGAGATTTCTAAGAAAAGAACCCCGCACCCTCCTCATTTGGCAAAGCACTGGATACCACCCAGCAATCCCGGGGAGGGAGCTGGTTGCGTCCTTCCAGCTCCTTTTGTTCTTCTACAAAGGCAAGTCCACCCTGCTCTATCCTTCCCTCCCACTGAGCACGCAGCATTGCTGGGCAGCCAGGTGTGCACAGAGAATGAACGCAGCCTGGGACATCTTCGTCTCTGGTCTGGTGATGAGTTCAGCCCCTGGGGAGACAAAAAAAAAAAAAAAAAAAATTAGAACTCTTCATGTGTGGTAGCAGTCTCACAGACTCAGCTTTTGGGGAGTTCCCATTTCCAAGGTTCAATCTGCCCAAGGTCTCAAATCTCAGGTCTCCCTAAGTTGAAGAATGGCTACATCTCAGCAATTTCGGACCCATAGCGCTGGGGCTTCCAGGAACTCGAATTTTCATCCATTGCTGGTATAAGATGGAAGTGGCACAGTCTTTGTTTCAAAATATATCTGACCTTAAGGTCACTTCTAAGACTTTGATTAGGAAGGTGTATGCTAGTTAATTCTGTGTCAATTCAACCAAGTCAAGGGATGTCCATAAAGCTGGTAAAGCAAGGTTTCTGAGTATGGTTGTTTCTAGAAGAGCTTCATGTTTGACCCAGAAGGAATAAAGCAGAGCCACACTGAGCAGTGTGAACAGGCTCCAGACCCTTCTGCAGGCCTGAAAGGAACAAAAGTCAGAGGAAGGGTGGATGCACTGTCTCTTCTGGAACTCGAGCATACCCCTGCTTTGGCCCTTGAAAACTAGAACTCCTGACTCCTGAGTCTTAGCCCTTCAGGTTCCAGACTATACAACAGAAGCCCCCACCTTCCCTATTCCCCAGATCTCAGACCTCGGGACTCAAAAAACAAACTATACCAATAACTTTCCTGGTTCTTCAACTTGAGTATGGCATCCCATGGGATGCTCAGCCTCTATAACCACATGTGCCAATTCCTACAATAAATCTCTTCTTCTGTATTTATCTATATCTTATAGGTTCTGTTTCTCCAGAGAATCTTAATGCATGTGGCAAATTAACATTCAAAAACTGTACATTAGTTGTTCACGTAGGCTGTCATTTTAGCTACTAGAGAGGTTGAAGCAGGAGGACCACAAGACAAAAGCCAGCCTGGACAATTCAGCAAGACTTGAATGCTTGGTCACCAGAGAGTGGCACTATTAGGAAGTGTGACCTTACTGGAAGAACTGGGCGTGGGTTTTGGCGTTTCGAATGATCAAGCCAAGCCCAGTGTCTAGCTCTTCTTGCTGCTTGCCAATCCAGATGTAGCACTCTCAGCTCCTTCTCCAGCACCATGTCTGCCTGCCTGCCACCATGCTTCCCACCATGATGAAAATGGACTAAAGCTCTGAAAATAGAAGCCAGCCCCAGTTAAATGTTTCCCTGTGTAAGAGTTGCCATGGTCATGGTGTCTCTTCACAGCAGTAGAAAATACACTGAGACAAAGGGAGTGCTGGGTAAATGCTTGCCACCCAGGCATGAAAATCAGAGTTTGGGTCCCCAGCACCCACACAACTGTTCGGCAGGAATGGTCGTCCACTTGTAATCCCAGCACTTTGAGAAGCTGAGACAGGAGATACCACCCCAACAAGCTGGCTCGTCAGAGTAACAGAATTGGCGAACTCCAGGTACAGCTGAGAGACCCTGCCTCAAAGTATAAAGTAGAGAGTTATTGAAAAAGACACCTGACATTAACCTCTGACTTGCACATGCATGTGCACACGTGGACTCCCACCAGCATACATACACAAAAATAAACAAATAAATAAATAAGGCTACTAAGGATATAATTCAATGATGGAGTACTTGCCTAGCATGTATGAGGCCCTGGGTTCAATCCCCTGTAACACACACACACACACACACACACACACACACACACACACACACACACAAAATTCTTCAAACCCCATGCATAACATTTTAAGGGGAATAATGTAAATTCCAAAATAAAGATTGATTAAATTATAATGGTATTATTAGATAAATTAACAAATTACTATGCAACTGTCAAAATACCAAGGTAGAAGACTAGTTAATTACACGGAAAATATTAACAAACTACCGTTACATTAAAACGCAGTTTACAAAACAGTCCCAGGTATAAATGTATTCTAAGTGGCTCCACAAGTATAGCAAGCTCGGGACAGGACAAACAGAGAATGGCTAGCAGTTATTCTGAGTAGTCAATTTTCAAGTGACTTCTTTCTTCTTTGGACTCATTTCTATTTTTTACACTTTCTTGCAATTAGTTCAGATTGCTTTCATAACAAGAAAAAACTTTTTTTTAAAGCAAAACCATTTTAAGAGTTGCATTTGACAGACTTCCAGTTCTCTCGCATCATGTTATTTCTAAGTCCCATGCTGTAGAGGGATATCTTTTCCTTCTTTCTTAAGTCCGACTTCTTAAGTCTGAGGAAATATGCTTCATGGTGGTCAGCTTTTCCCGGCCGCAAGAGAGCTCTCCACAGGTTCTACAGACCATTTTCTCCTTATGAGGACATGGGGTGGGGTGCTGGGGCCATATTTGCATTACCCACACATACTGGAGATGTACTGAGCAGCAAGGTGAGGCAGGACAGCCAAATGCCAGACACTCAGCTTCTAATCTAATGAAATGTCTAGGTGTTCGGGCTTCCTTACCTAAAAACTGCTATAATTCATATGCGGATTATTCACTGCATAAGAAACCATCCCAGGTGGAAAATGGAGACACAAATTCTTTGTTCTGTTCACTAGACTGTGCTCCTGGTATAGGGCTCTATCCTTCAAGGCAGAAGAGATTCTTTTTAAATTCACAACTAAGTGACCATCTTCTTGCCATTCCAGACACTTACAGCCTTGAGTCGTCTTACAGAAGACATTTTTCTGATTTGCCAAAAAGCTTCATGAGGGAACAGCGGCCCTGTACCCACCACAGTTTGCATTAAGAAAACCAGTGCTGATTTCCCCATCCAGGCGGCTCCTAGGAAGATACGGAATGCAGCCTGTCCTCCCATTGTGGTGATTAATCTACACTGTCAACTCGCCTGGATTTAGGACCACCTAGGAGACACACCTCCGGGTGTCTGTGAGGGTGTTCACAGGGAGGTAACTTGAGGAGATAAGCCTGAATGTAGGTGTTACCAGCCATTGGTGAGAATCCAGGGCTGAGCAAAGAGATAGGAAGGGAGAAGGCAGCTGTCCTGCAGCTGTCTCTGAGTAAGAAAGTTCCCTCCTGGAGGGAAGAAAGAAGCTCAGAGAACCCAGAAAGTGCATGACACTTCCAAGGCCCGGGAAGACAGAAGACTCACATGCCTACTCTTCAAAATTATAAAAGCAGCAGTGCTCAAGAGGGGAGACTCTGGCTGGCTGGGCCATCTTCACACCAGAGAGGGACTCCAGGGATGCAGCCTTCACGACCGTTTCCTACGCTGGGGCGGACTTTCTGGCAATGTTGCTGCTGTTTTACCCATATCCTTCTAAGTGATGCCTATAAAATCATGGGCTTACAAAGTTAGGCTTGGGCTAAACTGTTTTCTCAATCTGTGCCCTATCTGGGGTAAATTCTGATGGAGAATGCAGCATGACCAGCCACCTCATATTCCTGCAACCATGATGGACTGTCGTCCTTGAGACAGTAAGCCCAAAGCCGGGCGGTGGAGGCGCATACCTTTAGTCCCAGCACTTGGGAGGCAGAGGCAGGCTATGAGTTCGAGGCCAGCCTGGTCTACAAAGTGAGTTCCAGGAAAGGCACAAAGCTACACAGAGAAACCCTGTCTTGGAAAACAAAAACAAAAAACAAACAAACAAAAAAGACTGTAAACCAAATAACCCCTTCCTTGCGCAGCTTCTTTTCAAGCATTTGGTCATAACAACGAGGAAAGCAGTGAGTACACCTATCATCCTTAGATCTTTCCTATAACCTAATTTGCTTTAACCCCACCCTTGAAACAAATAACAGTTTTGCATATCACCCCACAGCTTAACAGTGGTATATAGCCTGGCGGTTTGCCAACCATGGATGCATGCATCCAGCTACCTCAGCCACACCTCAAGCCAATTCCATCGAGCCTCAAGGGTGGGATCCAGTCAAGGCTAAGACCAATTTACTAGAAATAACTCCAAGTTAGAAACAGTCCTAAATGTCTGGGTTTGATATTCCATCTCTTGAGAGCTGGGGAGATGGTTCAGTGGTTAAGAGCATTGGCTGTGCTTTCAGAGGACCCAACACCACCACGGCAGCTCACAATCATCTGGAATGCTAGTCCCAGGGCATCTGACATGCTTTTCTGGTCTCCAAGAGCACAGCATGCACATGGTACACAGACTTGCATGCAGGCAAAATACCCAATACACATTAGAAATAAAAATACACATTAAAGGTTAAAAATAATTTTTTTAAAAAAAGACTCCACCTTGCTGTTTATCAGCATGAATTCTTGAACTTGAACTTTACCCTTTGCCATCCTAGTTCTTCAAGTGTGAAATACCGGAGTGATAAGTCTTAGTCAGACTCAATCTGCAAGAAGGAGATCCAGTCCCTGGGAGCGAGGGGAACTAAAGAGGGAGAGGAAAGAGCCATGATGTGCTAAGAGTTTGGCTCCCTGGGCTATGAACAGTGGTGGGATTCATGGGAACAGACGCTCCTGAGGCCCCTCTCACCCCCAAAGCATTGGTGCTGTAGAAATGTCTACATCACAGGAGGCTGGAGTTCATCCTTTGGTGTGGCTCCCCAGAAAGGATTATGAATTGTTTAAATACATGTCACTTACTCTTTCTAGATTCAGGTCATCAGGCTCCGGGACTGCCCTGTTACTGCCACCCACTCTCCACACCACTCTGAGTCCTCATTCTCCATGTATTCATCAACACCATTCATGTCCAACACCATTCATGTCCAAAGAGTTGAGAAATCAAGTTATCAATCAGAGAAGTAAAACCATAAGCATGTGTGTGCCTCTCTATCTGTCTGTCTGTCTATCTATCTACCTATCTATTAATCTGTGTGTGTGTGTGTGAGAGAGAGAGAGAGAGACAGAGACAGAAAGAGAGAGAGAGAGAGAAATCTGCCACTTTCTTGCCCCCTTCTGTAAAGACATGCAGCTGTCATTTTCTTCCTTGTTAATCCATCCTGGCAGATAATATGATTTATAGAATTGGGTACTATCTATCTAAGAACACTTGAGATCCAGTGGGAACCCCCCTGCTTC